TGTAGTTGTTGGAGTAGCAGTTGCAGTTGTTGGTGCTTGAGTTGTAGTTGCTGGTGTAGCATTTGTAGTTGTTGGCAGTTGACTTCTTGTTGTTGGTGTAGCAGTTGTAGTTGTTTGTGCTTGAGTTGTAGTTGTTGGTATAGATGTTTTAGTTGTTGGTAATTGACTTGTTGTAAGTGGAGCAGTTGTAGTTGTTGGTGCTTGAGTTGTAGTTGTTAGTGTAGCAAATGTAGATGTAGGTACTTGACTTGTTGTTGGTACTTGAGTTGTGGTTGTTATTGCTTGAGTTGTGGTTGTTATTGTTGCAGTTGTTGTTGGTACATGAGATGCTGTAGTTGGTGTAGATGTTGAAGTTGTTGGTAATTGACTTGTTGTTGGTGTAACAGTTGTAGTTGTTGGTGCTTGAGGTGTAGTTGATGGTGTAGCAGTTGTTGTTGGTACTTGAGTTGTGGTGTTTGGCTTAACAGTTGTGGTTGATATTGCTTGAGTTGTAGTTGTTGGAGTAGCAGTTGCAGTTGTTGGTGCTTGAGTTGTATTTGTTAGTGTAGCCAATGTAGATTTTGGTACTTGACTTGCTGTTTGTACTTGAGTTATGGTTGTTAATGCTTGAGTTGTGGTTGTTACTGTTGCAGTTGTTGGTACTTGAGATGCTGTAGTTGGTGTAGCAGTTGTAGTTGTTGGTGTAGCATTTGAAGCTGTTGGCAATTGACTTGTTGTTGTCGGTGTAGCAATTGTAGTTTTTGGTGCTTGAGTTGTAGTTGTTGGTGTAGATGTTGTAGTTGTTGGTAATTGACTTGTTGTTGTTGGTGAAGCAAATCTAGTTGTTGGCACTTGAGATGTAGTTGTTGGTGTAGAAAATGTTGTTGTTGGTGATTGAGTTGTAGTTGTTGCTGTTGTTGGAGCTTGTATTGTTGTTGATGTTGTTGCTTGAGATGTGGTAGTTTGTTCTGAAGTTGTGGTACTTGGTGCTTGAGATGCTGTAGTTGGTGTAGCAGTTGTAGTTGTTGGTAACTGACTTGTTGTTGTTGGTGTAGCAGTTGTAGTTGTTGGTGCTTGAATTGAAGTTGTTGGTGTAGATGTTGTAGTTGTTGGTAATTGACTTATTGTTGTTGGTGTAGCAGTTGTAGTTGTTCGCGCTTGAGGTGTAGTTGTTGGTGTAGCAGTTGTTGTTGTTGGCAATTTACTTGTTGTTGTTAATGTAGCAGTTGTAGTTGTTGGTGTAGCAGTTGTTGTTGATGGCACTTGAGATGCTATAGTTGGTTTAGCAGTTGAAGTTGTTGGTGCTTGAGTTGTAGATGTTGTTCTAGCATTTGTAGTTGTTGGCAATTGACTTGTTGTTTGTGTAGCAGTTGTAGTTGTTGGTGCTTGAGTTGTAGTTGTTGGTGTAGATGTTGTAGTTGTTGGTAATTGACTTGTTGTTGGTGTAGAAAATCTAGTTGTTGGCGCTTGAGTTATAGTTGTCTGTGTAGCAGTTGTGGTTGT